TTTTAAAAAGTATTTGTATTTCATGTATTATATTACTGCATTTGGCCCACAGCCATGGATAGATTTTCATTTTGGCCCTCTCGGGGAAAATGTTTGGGCACCCCTGCTTCAGGGTATCTGCAGGTTAAGCAAGTCAAATTTAAGATGCAAGATCTTTTCTACACCACCTTGCATGAAATTTAATTTTAGACTGAACAAAGCATAAATTTATGTGATGGTTGGGGAATTGTGCTGTATTACAACCATGCATTTCATGTGTGACACTCAATGAAACACATTGTGTGTATGTAAAGATATTCAATGTCAGGGCCCTAGAGTGCGACCAATCTGGTCGCAAATGCGACCAGATTTCCTAATAGTGCGACTAAAACAAATGTKCGGTCACACTGGTGTGACTGAGGGGGAGGAGGAGGGGGAGCGGTCGCCCACTGAAACYAAAAGTTTTCAACATGTTCCATTAGAAATAATCCAGCAGTATCAATGGTCGCCCGCCGACAGTCTCATGTCTCCTAATAACACTGCGCTCTGCTCGCGGGCTCCGCTCAACACCTCCCGGGCACACACARATTTGTTGTTCTATCCTCATGGGGACTTTGCATTGGCTTCCATTCATTTCCCCGTCAATTCTATAGCCAACCATATCCTCCCAGGTAGACTACACACCTGACCCAAACCCTAACCTCACCAGGCTGTGTGTACCGGGGAAATGGTCAATAATTGTACCCACCATGAAGCAAAAATCTGTACACGTGCGCACGCATAGCGAAACAACAGGAGGTTTTTATTTTTATTTTTTAACCCAGATCGAAGTCTAAAAATAGTTCTTTCTTGTTAACTGGAGATGAAAACAAGATGTGGARGGTTGCTCTCTCTTAAATCCATCTTGTTAATTTAACAGTCGGGGTCTAAACGCTGCAGATTATATGAGCAGGACGAGGAAGCTCACGGGTATGGCAGGCCGCTTTTGCGCTTAATTGACTTCACCACAGTTACATTCCAAGTATCTGAAATAGGTTGTTCTGGGTCTCAGGAGGATAAAATTAGACATATTAGATCAGGGGTGCCCAACCTTTTTTGAACCAAGAGCTACTTTTGAAGGCAGCAGTTTGCCGAGCTCTACTCGTCCAGTCTCAGTATTAAAAAAAAAACAATTTTTCGTCTCCCTACTCCTCACTTCTTTAAAGTAAATAAAACAGAACATAATGTGTTGCTAGTTCAAACAAAACTATCTACTTAACCATATATTTACCTACAAAAAAAAGAAAAGATAAAATCCTTACTTAACTCCTGACAGAGAAACAGAAAAGTGATGCTCGAACAAAAAGGATTTTTTAATCTCCTTCAATTAGTACTCACTGTAACMTGRGAGCTACGAGGGCTGAAAACATGCCCAGTGAGAACCACAGAGTCAAATAACTTTGGAGCACGGGAACTCGTCTACATTTATTCAAAGAACTCTCCTGTCTTCTCTCCATACGGGGGAGGAAAAAACAAAACAAAAAACTATCAATCAGGGTCAACACGGCTACAACAAGAGTACCGCCCTTTTTTCAAAGTCAAAGCACACAATATAAAACTTTCTTGTTTATACTATTACAAAAASTGACTTACGATGGTGCAGATTCARAAATCAACAACTATTTCAAACCTCAATCTCTGTGCAGCATGCAGGATGGTGTGTCTTCTGCAGGTGCTGGCCCTCACTGGTCCAGACTGCTGGCTCCAGACTTGGATTTGATGAWTTTCATGTGAGAGAAAGCAGACTCACACAGGTAGATCCAAAAAMTTCTGTCAAGTCCAAAGCACCTCTTCTGATGTTGGGATACGTTTCCTCTGACAGCAGACTGCAGAACTCTCCATCCATGCCACTTGTTGCTCAGGATTTGATCCCAATGTCATTTTGCAGAGTCAAAACCTCATTTTCAACACCTTTTTTGAGTTGAGGCAGGATGGGCTACATTAGCCTTACCTCTGGTGTGAAAATCGATGCTGTGCAGTTTTAGGAGGAAATCCGCGTTTGTGCATTGTTTTGAAATGCCGCTCCACGTTATCCTTTTTGGCCAAGGCACCGCTCAAATTACATGAGACCTCTTCCCACTCCAGGTGAAAATAATAAGTTTTTGTTTGCTTGATAGCTCGTTTGTCGTTCATTATTTTTCAACTCAAGATCATGTTTTAAACACGTGACCCTAAAGTCTTGCAAGATCATGTTTGGAGCACTGTTTCACAGCACCCAAAACTTGCGAGACCACCCTCCTCTGAGCTTCCTTCTAATTCCGGCAGAAGCAGTGGAGGTTGGAGGCGGGAGGAGTTTACATTCCTGAACGCGCTCCCTCCGCTCTCCTCCTCCKACCTCCACCGCTTCTGCCGGAGTTAGAATGAAGCTCAGCGAGCTCCCGACTGGAGCGCAACCTTGCTCTAACAGTTAGAGCAAGGTTGCACTTCGCGGGCACCTGGGAACCGAGCGACTGGTTGGGCACCCCTGTATTAGATATTTAAGTGAAATAATATAAGATATTAAGAGTCAACTAATGATGAAATTGCAGACTTTTATGTGTTATTATTTAAAAAAATCTGCACAACCTTTTAATAAATATAAGTAATTTTTCTCTTATTAATCATTATTCTCMGTTCATCATTCTGGTTTATTCAAGGCCAAAGATCCATAGTTGTCCATCTGAGGGGCAGGTGTCTAAAAAAATGTAACCATGAAATGTTTCAGATGTTTACAAGACATTCAGCTCTTAAAACATCTGCACTTAGAATTTTATAGAATCACTTTAAACATTTTTCAGTAAGTTAAATGTCTACAGTTCTGGTTCAAATAAAGATCATCATGTTTAATAGATTGTTAACTAATTATTTTCGAGTTAATATTGCCTTAATGAACAGTGATTTAAAAAATAACCTGTAAAACTCTGATGTTAGGCGATGTGGTTGAAAATTTGGGTGCATCTAACTTTTGTGCTGGTGCACCTAAGAAAAAATGTTAGGCACACCGGTGCAACCAGTGCAAAAGGTTAGTTTAGAGCCCTGAATGTGCTCTAGTTCAGCTGTATTCCAATGTTGCAGTTATTTGGTTGGAAACACCCAACAAAGATACATCTACTGAATATTTTGGCTTGTGTCTTCATCTCCAGTTTTGCCTTTATACAGAAAGAAGTCATCCAGACAAATCTGTCCATAAACGTACCCTTTAACCTGCACCATCAAGACCAACAACATTCTGAAGGAAGAGACGATAAACACGATCATCTCTCTTCATCATAGATTATTTGTCTCAAATTATAAATGATTGTAAATAAAGAAAACGCCCTGAAACAGCACAGATGATCATGATGACAATCAATTTCATGACCTAAATAAGTCAGTCAGTAATAAAATAAACATATTAGAGAAATAATCCAAAAAAGTACTATTAGTAAACCTGCTTCTATATTTTATTGGAATAATTTGTATGTTGATATAGATCAAGAAAAGGCATGGTTACTGCCTAAAAAGTTCTTTGTCTCGAATAAGGAGTATCATTTAAAATCTTACACAGATGTTATCCTACAAACTCAGCTCTGGCTAAATATATTTCATATATTGATCCTCTTTGTTCCTTTTGTCATCTTGAAAATGAAACATTAACCCATCTTTTCTGGGACTGCACAATTAGTAAAAACTTTTGGTGTGACCTTAATTTGTTTTTTAATAGTAAATTTGATATCCCTGTTAAACTGAATGTAAAACATGTTTTATTTGGTGTCTTTGATTTTAAAATGTCTGAGATAAAATATGTCATGAACTTTCTCATATTTTTAGCTAAATTCCACGTTCATGCCAGTAAATTTACAAAACAAAAGCCCAATCTTACTGTTTTTAAGGCCTATTTGTACTGTTTTTTTGACTCACTGAAACTCTGCACCAAATTCTAAAGCCATAGAACTAAAATATATATATATATGTAAAGAATTTAAATTATAACCTTTTATTTTGTCTTCTGATTACCTTGTTTTTGCATTTTTGTACCCGTCTTTTCTTTCTTTTATGCACCTCTCTCTCCTCGTGTATATTACTGTTTATGGTTGTTGTTTTGTTAATAAAGTTTATTTAAAAGTCAGTCAGTAAACTGCTGTTTATTCAGTAAAATAATGCGCATACATAAAAGGTACACACATTTAAAAAACCTGGATGACATTAGAAACTAAAAACACGTTTCCTCCCCTATTGTGGTCCATTAGGTTACATATTATGTTATTCAACATCGATTTGAACTGCTCTGAAACAATAAACAAACTCATGCTGTGGGGCTTATTGTTAGCAATAGCAGCTTAACTTGGTGAAACAACCGAGCCACTCACTGTTTTCTTTGTCAACCGACAAAAAGCTGTGTGTACCTGTGACACAAACATTCTGTCGTGCGATTTGTTAAAGTTTTAACATGCATTAAAAACGTAAATCAACCTTTACTTACTCTTATTTAGTCAGGCGGAGAAGCATCGACTTCCTTCTTCTTCTTCTTTTGGTTTAATGGCGGCTGGCAGACTGTTTTAGTGCATTACCGCCACCACTAAACTGGTTGGTGGAACTGGAGAAGGCAGGCAAGAAGGGAAAAAAAACTATATTCTACTAAATGAACCTGTTGGTTTCAAAAAATAAATTTTACTGAATATGGTAGCAGATTTACCCTCCAAAAGCATTAATAATGTAAAGTTCTGCTGTTTTCCATTAATTAATGACCTAAAAGATTATCTCTGTGATTTCTATATTTGTTACAATGAATCAATACATGCTCCACTGTCTCTGACTGATTACAATATTGTAACAGCTGCGCATCGACTCAAGCACCAGACGGTTTGCACTCATCAGCGTTTTTTTTATTTTCTTTTTGTAAGGAACAGGTCTACAAACTCCGAGCAGTCTCGGCCGTGGCTCACATCCAAATCACCAAAACTCTCGCTCCTCCTTTTTCATTCCAACTCTCACGCGCACACGCACGCACACACACACACAAGGTAAAAACCACACCCCTAACAACACCCAACAGCCCCTGCAGAAACACCCAAAAACACATCAATTCAAAGAACCATTACAGCACAACCAGAAACATTTAACATGCAACAATAACTCCTTAAGGATCATTACACTGCCCCCCCAACAAAAAGTTCTTCGTCCTCGAGGGAACAACACAGTCTGTGAGGCGGGGAGGTAGTTGATGTCGCCTCCTTGGTCTTCTGGGGCTTTGAGGGACCACAGGAGTTATAGGGATTGGAGAGAGAGACAGTTCCTGTTGCAAATCCACCTGTGTAGGGGCCYGAGGACTTTGCACCTGTCCCTCCATGAAAGGGGGAAGGGAATGTCCTCTAWAGGGGGCCATTCTGTCTCTGTGCAGGACTACTTTCCTGCTTCTAGGGGGCAACTGTACCCTGTAGACCACCTCTCCAACTTGTTCCAGAACACTGCAGGGACCCACTCAGCTGCTACCCAGTTTAGGACATCTTCCTTTTTTTCTTTTTGGGCTGAAGACCCACACCAAGTCTCCTGCGAGAAAGTGCCTCCCTTTAGTGGTGTTGTCCTAATTCCTCTTTTGATGCAGTCCTGCTTTTGCCAACTGGTCCTGAGCATAGGAATGTGCTGATTCCAGTTGATCCTGCAGTTTCCTAGTCTGGACCGGGTGGTGCCTCTGGTGCATRGGGGGGTTTCCCAAAAGCTAACTCAGCCGGGGTCCTCAGCTCTCTTCCTAACATAAGCAGGGCAGGTGTGCACTGGGTAGAGTCCTGGACAGCTGACCTGTAGGCCATGAGAACGAGGGGAAGATGGTGTCCCAGTCCCGCTGGTGTTCTGAGGTGAGGATGGCTAACTGCTTGGCCAGTGTCCTGTTAAACCTCTCTACCAAGCCATCACTCTGGGGGTGGAGTGGGGTGGTGCGGGTTTTCTGAATGCCAAGGTGGTCACACATGGCAGAGAACACTTTGGATTCAAAGTTCCATCCTTGATCGCTGTGAAGAGTCTCCACTGTCCCGAACCGGCTGAACATCCCCTCCACTAGTGCGTCAGCAACAGTTTCAGTCTCCTGGTCTGGGATGGCATACGCCTCCGGCCACTTAGTAAAATAGTCCATGGCGACGAGGACATAATGATTTCCCTTACTGGTGCAGGGGAAAGCGCCCATAATGTCCATGCCCACTCATTCCAGTGTCTTTAAACTCCAGCAGCACCTGCCACAGGCTCTCCTGTTGCTGATGATCCAGCCCTTCACAGTTCTTGGACCAGATTTTCCTCAATGCAGACAGCRTCTCGTCCTCTTCAGTTTGCTGTTCAGTTGGTGGCAATGTAGGGGTCTCAGTAGTGCAGGCAAACACTGCAGCAGGGCTTGGGCTTGACGAGGGGGGACAAGTTGTACAGATTTCCCTCCAGGGAGTAGTAGAAATCCTTTGCCCAGGTCTAGCACACCACCAATGGCCCGTAAAAAATCCAATCCAAGGATGCAGGTGTCCTGTACATCTGCCACCCAGGTAGCATAGGTCAAAATAAGGTCTCCCACCTTAATCTGGAATAGTCCTTTCCCTCTTATGGGGGCCAAATCACCTGTCACTGTCTTCAGTTGCACATCAGTTTCCTGCACAGCAGTTCCGGGAGGGATGACATCAGGTCGAACCAGCATTGCGTTGGACCCTGTGTCCAGGAGTTCTGTCCAGGACACCCCAGGGACCGTCACTGGAACATGGCAAAAGTCACCAAACTGGGTCCAGCCTACAGTAATAACTGAACCTGGTGGAGACAGTGGTGGACTGGGGGTGTTGGTCTCGTAGGCCCGTGTACTCCCACTTATACGGGCCCTTGGGCATTTCCCTGCACTGCTGCAAACATGGGGCACTGCCTGATGAGGTGACCAGCTTGTCCGCATCCCCAGCAGCTTTGTGGTCGACGGCCTGGACGGCCCTCGAAGCGGGTGACTGACTGGTAGATGTCTGGATCATACTGAGTGGACCCCTTGGCCTCTCCAGCTGTTCGGCAGGTGCTGATATTGCCCTCACTATCGGTGGGTCTTCGGCTCCCCCAGTGGATCCTGTCAGCATCTCTCTCTCCAGTGCTAACTCAAGGGCAGCACTGAGTGTAGCTGGGCGTGCGGGCTGAGTCTGTATACGAAGTTCTTTAGGACTGAGGGCCTGCAGAAACTGGTCACGAGCCAGCTCTGCCTGCACTGTAAGCGGCATGTTATCATGCGCATGCCTGCAGAGACATTCAATGTCATGGGCCAAAATATGCAGGGGCTCCCCAGGCTGTCTGTGTCTGTTGTGGAACTCTGATCTAAGAAACCCAGGCTGGTTATACTGTCCAAACCTTCTCTGTAGTGCCCCAACCAGAGCACCATAGTCCCTCCTCTCCTCCTCTCTCAGCAAAAGCAAACATGCAACTGCATCCTCACACAGGCTCAAAGCTAARTGCAGTGCTTTATGTTCATTAGTCCAGCCAGCTGCAGCTGCTAACAGTTCGAACTGTGCAATAAACACCTCCCACGGTGTGTTATCATTAAATTTAGGTGTCTTCATGTTAGCCGCAGCTTCCTGTCCCCAGGCGCCGCCATCTTTGTTTACYTCACGTGACAATGCATCACGCGACTCCATCCTGCTGAAACTGCGGTCATGGCGCGAAAAGTTCTCCAGCCTAGCCAAACCTGGTGAGAATCCAGCCTCAGCAGACATTTTCAGTGCCGTTTCCCTCACTCAGCCGACGATTTGGCCCGGGCACCCGTTTCCAGCTCCTCTCTTTTCATCTTGTCCGCCAACATCTCCGACAGCAGATGAAGTCATCAACGGCAACAGCTTCAGAGGCAGGGTCATATTTTCACTTCTGACACCAGTGTAACAGCTGCACATCGACTCAAGCACCAGATGGTTTGCACTCACCAGCGTTTTTTTATTTTCTTTTTGTTGGGAACAGGTCTACAAACTCCGAGCAGTCTCGGCCGTGGCTCACATCCAAATCACCGAAACTCTCACTCCTCGTTTTTCATTCCAACTCTCTCTCTCGCATGCGCACACACACACACACACACACACACACACACACACACACACACAC